ACGAAGAACGTGGAAGACCATCAAAAAAGTTTGAAGACAGCGAATTGCAAGCATTGTTGGATAAGGATGACGCTCAAACGCAACAACAACTCGCGGATTAAATGTGACACGAAAAGCCGTCTCCATACGTTTGAAAGCCATGGGAAAGATCCAGAAGATGGGAAAATGGGTTCCACGTGAACTGAATGAAAGACAGCAGGAAAACCGAAAAACCACTTGCGAAATGCTGCTCGCCAGGTACAAAAGAAAGTCATTTCTCCATCGAATTGTGACTGGCGATGAAAAGTGGATATATTTTCAGAATCCTAAGCGTAAAAGATCATGGGTAACTCCAAGCGAACCATCGACATCGACTGCAAGGCCAAATCGCTATGGACGGAAGACAATGCTCTGTGTTTGGTGGGATCAGAAGGATGTGATCTATTATGAGCTGCTAAAACCTGGCGAAACCATTCATACTGAACGCTACCAACAATAAATGATCAATTTAAATCAAGCTTTGCGTGAAAAACGACCAGAATATCAAAAAAGGCAATACAAAGTGATTTTGCTTTATGATAATGCACTATCACGCACAGCAAAACTGGTCAAGGAAACGATTGAGGCGTTTAGTTGGCAAATACTTTCGCATGCGGGTGACTCACTTGGCCAGACTTGGCTTCATCCGATTACTACTGAAACTTGAATCGATGGGACACGCAGTTGCTGAGCAGCGCTTCACTTCTTACGAAAATGTACGGAAGTGGCTCAATAACTGATTTGCCTCAAAAGAGCAACAGTATTTTTGGCGTGGCATCCACAAATTGTCAGACAGGTGGGAAAAATATATAGCTAGCGATGGACAATACTTCGAATTAAATATATTTTCATACAATAAACGTGTATTTTCTATACAAAAATTCTGGTTTCATATTTACATACCTGGTAAGTAGAATGGTTTCTAATTAGAATGATTATATAATACAGGCTGCGTTTCGATGTTCACTGTCAGTACTAAAAATTTTTAGTATATGTAACATGAACTATTAATTTTCAATACTGGCAGTAAATATTGGAATGCAGCCATAATATTGTTTAATAAGATTTTTTTCTACTGAGACAATCTAATGATCTGTTGTAGGAATAATCTAGTGACAAAGAATTCATTGAAACAAAATGGAATATCATTTTAATAAATTGTTTCTCATAACGTTATTCTCAATAATCTATAAATGAAAATGTAATTAAATGAATTTAGATGCTTAATATTGAATTCACATTATAAAAATAAAATTTTAATAACTATAGCCCATATTCTCAACTCACTTTTATCGATGAAAGTACTTTAAATATGGCTTTTGAACTAATTCGGTGATTTTTAAGCTACTTTTAAGAGACACATTCATTGATAAAAGTGAATTAAGAATATAATACTATAACACGGAAATATAACATTACTTACCAGTTTCTACTTCTTGCGTATCACTTACAGAAAGACTCGTATAAATTAAGTCTCCGCGTCGTCCAAACTTGCGCGTTGCATATCCATTTTTAAAAAATATTAAAGACAACTGAACGTAAATGAGTAACACGTACATTTAATTAAACGATACAATAATCGTTCGCAACAAACTAAGAACGCTATCAACGCTATGAACGTTTACAACCTCACCTCTAATCAACATAAACACTGTCAACAACTGTCACCAACTGTTACTGGCTGTTTTTCAAAATTGCTGCCAGCGCTGCAAGTATAACGTCATAAAAGCATATTGCCAACAACGTTTCAATTTTAGTAAGCATGCTGGTAGTGCGAATACGACTTTCAAATTGGAACGCTGATTTCAGTGCTCACAGCAAGAAAACGAAGAAAGAAGTGAAAATAAACAAGTTAACCTCTAAATATGAAAGAAAACAGGCAGAAAAAATTTATATTTAACGAAGCTTTAAAATTAATAGTTGAAGATTTGAGTGAGGAATCTAGTGACTCAGACTCAGCTGAAATAATAAATAATTATTTTACACGTATACCTAAAATACGTTGTAAGAATTATGTCGAAGATATAGTTTGGCAGTACAGGTTGCGTGAAAAGTTCGCAGAGCGAAATTGAAATAAAGAATACCAAATTCTAAAAATGATTTTATTCTTCAATATAGTCTCCATTAACTTCAATACACTTGGCCCACTTGGCTCTCTAATAATTTTATTCCATCGCGGAAGTGTGTTTCTGGAAGGTCTGCGGAATATGCCTCTACGGCTGCTATAGCTTCTTCATTCGACAAAAAATGCTTTCCACGGAGGAATTGTTTCAGGTTTCGGAACAGATAGAAGTCGCTGGGTGCCAAATCTGGCGAATACGGTGGATGATCAAGCAATTTGTACTTCAATTCATTGAATTTAGACATTGACAAAACACTTGTGTGAGCAGGTGCGTTGTCTTGGTGAAATATGATTTGTTTGTGCTGCAAACCAGGTCTTTTCTCACGAATTTTTGCGTCCAATTGATCCAAAAGGTTACAATAATGTTCAGAGTTAATTGTTTTATCTTTTTCCAGATAGTAAATTAATAAAATCCCTTTAGCATCCCAAAAACTGATGCCAAAACCTTTTTTGCCGATTTTTCATGCTTTGTTTGCTTTGTAGCTGAACATGCAGCTTCAGTCCACTATAAACGTTCCTGTTTCAATTTAGGATCATGGTGATAGATCCAAATCTCATCCATAGTTATAAAACGACGCACAACATTGGTTTTATTCTCCTTAAAACGATCCAAATGACGCTGAGAAATTTACTTTCGAGCGAGTTTTTGTTGAATTGTTAACGTATGCGGCACCACTTTTCCAAACACCTTTTCCATTTGTAATTCTTTATGCAAAATATACCGTACCCGTTCATCTGAAATGCTTATGGTATGAGCAATTTCACGCGTAGTCACACCTGGGTCTTCAGAAACAATAACATGTATTTGCTCAATGATTTCTGGTGTTGATGCGCTTTTTGGACGTCCACTGCGTGGATCATTTTCAATGCTTGTACGACCACGTTGAAACTCAAGTGCCCATTTACAAACCATTGTTTTCGAAGGAGCAGATTCCCCTAACACATTTACCATCTCGAAATGAATTTACATTGCCTTTAAACCTTTTTTAACAAAGAACTCAATCACTGCACGCTGTTTCAAACTTTCCATTGCAAACACATATACTGACACGTCAACTTCAATTGGCTTGTAAACACAGAAAGAATTGACAGATAGAAATGAAACCTAACCTAGGTTCATGTGAAGAGTGATTCTATATAACCGATTACAATTTAAAATTCTATCGTTTACTTATAGATGCCGCTCCACGAATTTTTCACGCAACCTGTATACTAATATTGATTTTAAGAATCGTTTCGGTAAGTTATTTATTAAATTTGGTAATTAGATTAGTGAACTCAGCTCGGATCACTTTGACCTTTATATCTATTGTCAGGATGATTATAGTGACATTTAAAAGATATTAATTGTTGCTCATTATTTATTACAAAGTTTTATAAACAAAAAGGTAGAGAAATCTAAGTTTATATACCTTTATCATTCCCTAACAGCACAGATGTCCAGGGAATGCCCAAAATACGTTCTTCCCAGGGCGACCTGGGGACGTTTCTTCGTCCCCAAATCGTTCCCAGGAAATCTTGTGCTGTCTAGGTTTATTTTTTGTCTTAGCTGTTTTATATGAATATGTAATCTATTCTATAATTGGTATTCATAATCAGATCTTATATTTAAAACTGTTTTACGAGTTTTACTGTTTTACGTAAATTCATCTTTATATACTGTAAGACTAATGTCATTAGAGATGAGCTTGTTAATTTCAATATATTGTAAGAAATATTTTTAAGCGGTCATTAAACGTAGTAAACGATTCGTACTGACCAACGCGTTGTTGTAAGTCAGGCTTTACCAAGCATAGATGGTAAACCTGCGTTATGTGAAGAAAGAGGTTATTCGAGAGAGAACTGTAGAGATTTGAGAGGGACGGTAAAGCCCAAGACACAATGCTAGGAGATAGCAATAGCGAAAGGCAATAACGATAGCGATAGCATATCAATAGAAACAATAAATTCCGACACTAGGGAATGCATATGCCAATGCAGAATGGAACAGAGAACAGGCAACAGCGACAAAATTTCCGACGAGTTGGAATTCTGTATCTATTGTCTTGTAGCTTACCAATCATAGCGTTCAGATTTTTGCCGTTTTTCCAGTCAACATATTTCGAGTCTACCATATTTTTAGGTTATTTGACAGACTGTGATCAACGAAAGACATCGAAAACGCCTCGAAAATGGAACATTTTGAGTATGCAACTCCCTTTGAAGAAAAAGAAGAAGAACAATTCGACGCATCGGGCGAATGTTCTAACAACATTGTGAACAATAATCAAAAATACGGTGATGAACTTTTCGATCTTGTACGATCTCGTCCTTATTTCTACGATAAAACGCAGAGAGAATATAAGGACATTATGAGAGAAAATGAAAGAAAATGCATGGAAAGAAATGGCTGACATTTTGAATATTACAAGTAAGTTAATTATGATTTAAAATATTTGTTTATTAATAATCTATATTTCACAACTTATTTTATGTAAATTGTTTGCTAAACACATTTAACTGTGCTTTATGTATGTATGAAACCACCAGTCACTATCTTCATGCATTTTCTTTCATGTGGTTAAATAATGTGTATTTGTATTTTCAGTATCAGATTGCCAAACACGATGGATACGCCTCCGTCAACTTTATAGCAAAGAACGAAAGTTGTATGAACAAGAAACGAGAAGTGGTGCTGGAAAGTCTACACAACTAAAATGGCTTCTCTTTGAAAGCCTCATATTTTTAGAAAAACATATGGTTTATAGAAAGTTTGTTAACTTTTGTTTGAGTTATTATGAATATGTATGGTATTATATATAAACATTCTTGTCATAACTTCATTATTTTAGAAGTATTACAAATATGAGTTTGTCTCAGTCACCCACTTCAATAATGCATTAAGCGAATAAGGAGATAAATCAAAATGAAGACTTTAGGGTACGAGAAGTAATTTTTTTCTAAAATAATATCATAGTATTCTACTGCAACATGTTTACAAAACTAATTTTGTTTGTTACAGGAAATGACTTTACCACAAGTGACCAGCCAGAGATTGTTTTCTCAGAATATATCTAAGATTTCCAGGAACAACATATCTGCATTGGAACTTAAACGGGTAAATATAATATATACTTGCAATAATAACACATGTACAAAAAATGTACATACTACATGTAATAAAATATAATTAATTGTGCTTATAGCCATGGACGCCTTCGCCGTTGCAGCATCAGTCGCAGCTACCGGATTCAGCGATTAAACAAGTCGATAACTTCATACCCGCTCCGACACCTATCCCTGACACGAAACCTGCACTAGTGAGTAATTTTCTAATAATATTAACATTATCAACTATTTGTAGGTTTTTGAGTATGAACCACAAATGTAATTGAAATAATTAATTGAAATGGCCTTTACGATAGTAATGTTGTTTATTTCTTAGCCAATATTTCAACAAAATATATCGTAACAAAGTACTTTCTCATAAGTAACCCGATGAAGACCTAACAGATGAGTTAAAACGTTGGGCAAGAAAGAAATAATGTTAGAACAGAACAATAATAGCCATTTCAATCAATTATCTTAATTATCAACTATTCTCAACTTTCAAAAAAGTATTAACAATTAAAATAACATTTATTTAAAATAATTGATTGAATCTTAATAATGAATTAGAAATAAATACATATATTGAGTGTCTCTATTATTGTTGTAATTGTAAATAATTTAATGAAGGATTAAAAACAAGATCGATATCCGAGTCAAATTTAAATAATGAGTCAAAATTTTATAACGTTTTGATGGGCTAATTCATCATCATCAGAATCTATAATTTATTTAATGTATTCGATGTTATTTATAATATTGTACAAAAACCAAGAAAATACTCGGATATCGATCCTGTTTTTAATCCTTATTTATGAAACGATCGAGTAATTAATTCATATTATAAAAATTTTTATAATTTGTTTAATTACCTGCAGGTATTAACATCTCCACCGTCAGAGGAATCGATTGCTTTAACACAGCGATCAACTATTTCACCATTACAGCGATTATCTGCTTCACCACAGCGATCAACTGCTTCATCATCACCACAGCGATCAACTGCTTCAACATCAGAGCAATCAGATTTAGATTATGCAATATTAAATCCTCCGTCTGCTTGTTTTATAAGAAACCAGGGAAGAAACGAAAGATCGATCCGATGGAAAGTGCGTTCTCCCAAATTAATACTACTCTAAGTATGATGGCAATGCAGATATGTTCCAATAACAATCGGACATCGGACAACAACGATCCCGATATCCTCATTGGAAAGCTGGTCACCGCAGAATTAAAAAAGACTCCTGAACCAAGGAAAAATATTTTGAGAAAAAATTTATGAACATTTTGTATAGTTGACAACTAGAACTTGTGACTTCCATATAAAAATTCTTAAGGTTATTTATTAAAATATCAAAATACATATTATTACTATTATTATTACTTTCTATAGCAATTCAATATTTATTTTGTAATTAATAACAATAAAAACATTGTACTTTATTTTCTTTTATAAAAAATAAATATGCAGAAAAGACAGAATTTCAATTCGCATCACGATGTAGTCCTTGATGTATATATTCGTATTGCCATGGAACTTCGCCAGCAACTGTCAAAATACGACGAGAGAGTATCCCGGATCGAATAAGCCTCTCTCGTATTTCTATGTGCTCCACATTTTCCGATGGTTCTTAAATAGTCATCTCCTGATAGTTCTCGCCATTCTCCTTCAATTACTTGCCCTTCAACCTCTCTATCCGCGAATTGAGGAGGGCAATATCTTTGCTGCTGTGGTGGTCTCGTCGTTTTTTGCTTTTAAAAAATTATGCAAACACATTGCTGCTAGCACAAATTTCTCGACAACTTCTGGCCCTGCGGAAATTGGTCTTCGAAATATTCTCCATCTGACTGCAAGGATACAAAATGTATTTTCTATTGTTCTTCTAGCTCTTGATAGTCGATAGTTGAAAATTCTTTTCTGGTCATTTAAATTTCTGCTCGGATAAGATCGCATCAAGTTTGTCGACATTTGGAAGGCTTCGTCGGTAACAAAATAGCAAGGCGTTTCCTTATCGCTTCCTGGTAGATAAGCTGTTCCTCTTGGCAAGTTGAGTGTACCTCCATATAAAGCTTTTCCGAAGACTGATCTTGACAGAATTCCTCCATCATTATCGCTGCCATACGTGGCCCAAGTCAAACAACGTAAATTGATATCTGGCATCACAAGCGGCCATCAGCACGATGCTAAATGTTTTCTTATAATTGAAATATATAGATCCAGAGTTCGGAGGTGCCTGAATGATGATATGTTTCCCATCGATCGCTCCGATACAATTAGGCAAATTCCACAAAGCTAAAAAATCTGTGCATATCTCGTTCTATTTTTCTTCTATTGGAGGTTTCATGCAGATTGGCATTAAAATATTTGCTATAATAGAGTATGTTTCTTTCACGATCATATGAGCCGTGGACTCTCCTACCCTGTATGCTAGAGCCACAGACAGCATTTGATCTCCTGTTGCCAAATATCTGTTACAAAATTAATATTTTATAATATATTTATTTATTAAATAAAACATTTTTTTATCATACTCTAATTTTACAGGTTATAGCTCATTTCTGCAACGTTTCATTGTCTCGTATGTATACAAGGGGGGGGATTATATTGATTATTAAAAATATAATTATGAAGTAAAAGATAGTCTATCATTCTTCAAATAAACATGATTTACCTCAATGTTATTGCGAGACGCTGTTTTGGATATATTGATGGTCTTATACTCCTTTTTTGCATGTACGGGCTCACTAGTCGGAGCAGTTCATAAAATGTAGACACATCCATTCTCGTGTACCTGAAGAAGAGATCCGGATCTTCTTTCAACTCTGAAAATAAAGTTGCGAAGTCGCCATACTCCACTCGTTTTCTGTTTATGGGACGTACCCACCATCGACAATTTTTCCAACGCTTGTTCTTTTTGCCTTCCATGCGGTGTATAATGTAAGCACAGCTATGTGCACCGTACAGATAAATAATATTAACTCTTCATCTTCCATCGCAAGTTAACCTGAAACGAATATTCGCTAAAATGTAACATACAAGACAATGGTCCGTATTTTGAATACGGACTTTTATCGATAAAAATGCTTTAAATGTGGCTTCTCAGTCAATTAGGTGGCTCGTAATTTTCTTTTAGATGCATTTTTATCGGTAAAAGATGGTTCAGAATATGGGCTAATATCAGGTGTAGTAAAAAGAAATCCATTATTTTTCCAATAGATGGCTTTAGTTACCTGTATCTCGCGTTGTATAAGTCCGATCGGGTTCCACTAGATGGCGTTAGAAAGATGAGATTTCGTACTAAAAAAACTTTTCTGACAGTTTTGTGATTAGTTGACTCAGTTTTGTTTGAGCGCGCGTCAAAGATGGACACTAGCAAAGAGAAAATACGCTATATTTTACAGTTTTTCTTCGATAAAGGCGAAAACGCAAGCCAGGCGGCTGAAAATGTGAATAGAGTTTATGGTCCTAATACTGTAACAGCCAATCACGCGCAATTTTGGTTTCGTCGATTCCGTTCCGGTAATTTCGATGTCAAAGATGCACCATGCACTGGAAGGCCAATTGTCGAAAAAATCGATAAAATCATGGACATTGTCGAGTCCGACCGTCATGTAAGCACTGTTTCGATTGCCCAAGAGTTAAAGATTGCACAAAAAACCGTTTGGAACCATTTGAATAAGGCTGGATACAAAAAGAAGCTCGATGTATGGGTGCCACACGAGTTAACGAAAATAAACCTCATGGACCGAATTTCCATCTGCGAATCGCTGCTGAATCGCAACAAAATCGACCCATTTCTGAAGCGGTTGGTCACTGGTGATGAAAAGTGGATCACTTACGACAACGTCAAGCGAAAACGGTCGTGGTCGAATCGCGGTGAGCCGGCGGAAACGGTGGCCAAGCCAGGATTGACGGCCAGGAAGGTTTTGCTGTGTGTTTGGTGGGATTGGCAGGGAATTATGTACTATGAGCTGCTCCCCTATGGCAAAACTCTTAACTCGGAACTGTACTATCAACAATTGGACCGTCTGAAGGAAGCAATCGCCCAGAAGCGGCCAGCTTTGGCCAATAGGAGAGGAATTGTGTTCCATCAGGACAACGCCAGGCCACACACATCGATAGTGACTCGCCAGAAGCTCCGGGAGCTTGGTTGGGAGGTTTTTATGCATCCACCTTATAGTCCGGACCTGGCACCAAGTGATTACCATCTGTTCCTGTCCATGGCGAACAATTTTGCTGGTGAAAAATTCGCTTCAAGAGAGGCTTGTGAAAATCGACTGTCTCAATTTTTTGCCAATAGGGACGAGGGCTTCTATGAGAGAGGCATAATGAAATTACCTTCAAAATGGCAACAAGTTATCGAACAAAACGGCGCATATTTGACCTAAATCGGATCATTCTAACTATGGTAATTAAAGCCTTCAATTTCATGCAAGAATAATGGATTTCTTTTTACTACACCTGATATAAATACTCTTAAATACGTTTCACAAGTACATACCAAGTAATCTTTAACTTAAAACAAAGTATATATTCCTAAATTTGATTAAAAATCGCACAGTTGAAGATGAATTAATACGACAATTTAACAATTACAGGTTATGTGCTATGTATCATAAACATGGAAGAGCAGACTACAAGATTTCTGATTGGTTGGCTTCTATTCCTGTCGCGCTATTGTGCAATGGGTAGCGATAATTTTTATTACTATTTCTATTCTATCGCTATTCCCTTGTTCCTATCGCTATCACCTAGCATTGTGTCTTGGGCTTAAGAAGACGTTTCGCCAAGACACTTGAGTTACAAGCTTGTAGTCGTGACCGAGTGAATGTTAAGTCACCAGGTCTGCACGAATTTATAAGATCGGGATATTTGTGAACACGGAATCGAAGGGACATATAGACGTAATACGATGCGGGCGAAGGATCCGTGTATAACGGTCGTCCTATTTGTGGGCGACCTCTGGTTCATGTAGCTTTACGTTCGTTACAATAAAATTTGTGCTGTTTGTTACAATAGACACTTATTAGTTATACATACTCTCCCTTCACCAAGGGAAGGCCATTCTATTGAATACATTATTCAATCTCTCAGAGCTGAAGAAGCTAAAGAAATATCTTACAGCTTAAAAAATTTCTCTGAAGTGGGATTCGAATCGGAATTACGATCGGATTCGAAATTGTGAACAAGACATTCCGTTATTGATGTGTGATCATCAGGTCAAGGTCACATTATACACGAAATGTGCGCCTGTTCAGTGAGTGTTATTTCGAGTCAGAAGAAAGGCTCTAGTGACTGAACGCTTCTTGTTTTGCTACGCGGTCGTGGGCAACAGCACATGTGATCGGCAACGGTGCTGAGAAAAACAACACGTGCTTTGCTGTGCGTATGTTAAGGACATGCGGAAAAACAAAGATGAAACGAGCTCGATTGGAAAAACTAATGTTGGATCAACCGCGCGAAGAAGCTTCAAGATACGGACTGCTCGTGACTTACAGAACAGTACGTTTACTAGATAGCATTATGACGCATCTGGAAAGGCATGGCCCAGTTCGAGATTTTCTAAATGGTTCTGATCCTCCTCAGGAACAAGAAATGCAGAGTGAGATATCAGTTAATACCTCGACATCAGATCTGACAGTGATGCTGGCTCAGATGATGATACAGATGCAACAGCTACTAGAAGCGGTGAATAGGAACAATACCTCCACCAACGTGATACCTCCACCCAGGACGCAAAGTGAAATGTCACCAGTGCGAACTTCTCTTGTGATAAATGACGGCTCCTCATCGAGTGTGGTCGCACCAGTTAGTGCAGTTACTCTACTAACGCTTCAGATTCCAGAATTTTCTGGTGAATTGTCTGATAATGCGAGACAATGGATACAAAGGATAGATTAAGTCGTTCGCATACATAAGGCCCCTGATGATGCTAAAATACTGGCAGCTACAAGCAAGCTAACCAGGCAGCGAAAAAATGGCATGATTCTCTGTCTGTTTCGGTATTAGATTCATGGGTGAATTTGAGTCGTAGTTTGCAACGGATGTTCGACCGTCGTGTACCATTCCCAGTAACGATACAGAGGATGAAAGCACATAAATGGGCGACGGCCAAGGAACTCTTTCATGAGTATGCTATTGACAAGCTGGTTATTCTTGGTGGCTTGGAATTGTCCGTTTAGGATACCATCAACCTGCTCATTGGAGGAATTCCAAACGAAGCATTGAGAGCGATAGTAGCTACAATCCAAGTAGACCCCATAGAAAATTTCGTTGAACACATGGGTCTACTTTCAGCTGCCGTATATCAAGGAGATAAAGAGGCTCATACCACGAACTGGAAACACCATGGTCAAAAGCAAGGCGACCGTCGTACAGAGACCTGCAAAAACTGTGGCAAGAAGGGACACCACCACAAGGAGTGTCGGGCAAGCAAGAATATTTGTTTCTGCAAAGACAAAGGTCATTGTAGTTATGAGTGCTCGAGGAGAAGGGCCAAGGAGTATCCGGCAGCTGGAGTTCATCAGCAGCAGTAACGGCGGAAGAAGAAAGCTCAGCCTCTGACAGCCGTGAGTCGACGCCATCGTCGTCTTCATTGGTTTTTAATGCATCACCGAGCTGGAACATTCCGTTTAGTAACCCATCATTATAAATTCTCGAAATTAACGGTAAAGTTTGTAAATTGAGAGCTCTTGTGAACACAAGTAGTCCAGTTTCTTTTGTTAAAGGTCATATTTGTCCAAGACCTAAGCGACGAGAAAATAGATACCGACATTGTTTACCTCGTCGTTATAATACTCTTTCGAGTCAGGCTATTGAAGTTCTTGATGTTGTACACTCTAAGATACGATTAGAGGTACGCCTAGATTTGTTGTTAGACATAAATTTGAATGTATTCGCGAACGACGAGTTCGAACATGATATTGTTCTCGGTAGAAACTTTCTAACGAGCAAGTTATCCTTATCTTTTCGTTTAGATTCTGATTTTACTTCAAACAATTTTGTGACGGAATTCGGAGCCTTGGATGTTGGCGCTCAAGCGCGATATCAAGCAATTCTCTATTTAAAGATTACGATATTGATTTTGATTCGACTGTAAAAATACAGATTCGAAGAAATGATCGGTGAAGTAGGGAATAATGCAATTCCGGTAGTAGACGACGGGTATACGGTTCGAGTTAATATCATTGATAAATTGGTTTTCGCGTATGCTTCGAGAAAATTCGCATTTAAAGAGCGGAAACAGATAAAAGAAATTACAGATGATCTGTTAGAGTGAGGTATTATTAAACCTAGCACGTCTCCGTATTGCGCTCGAGTTGTACCGGTGCACCGGAAAGATGGTAGGCTAAGGCTTTGGATTTGCGCCCGTTAAACGCAAGAGTGGCTAAACAAAAGTTTCCTTTTCCATTTATCGAGGATTGTGTACCTCGTTTGAGCAACAGCCAGTTTTTTACCTTATTGGATCTCCGTAATGGTTTTCATCAGATTAAAGTGCATCCATCTGTTACTAAATATTGTTGCGCTCACTCTCGCAATCGCGCTTGCACTCAGGTAAATGAAAACATTCGCGCAACAAATATGAAACTTTACTGTACACAACGCAGCTCGCTCAAGATTCTTACAGGAATAATTCTCTATTTTACAATTCTCGCGTCTGTCCTCGATGACAGCTTGTCGGAGACTCTCAGTCAGCTGTTGTTGTTTCCTTCTTATCGATTTTCCGTCGTCCAGACAATCTTCGTTCAATTGTCAAAATCAGCATCAGATGCCTAAGGCATACGGACAACGGACGCTGCCACAAATCTTGTGGCTCGGATACAACATTTTGCCTTTGCACCCACAGAAGGTCAGTTTGAAAATGTTCGCTTTCCATTTGGTTTTAGCGAGGCACCAGCTGAATTTCAAAAAATATTGATACAATTTTTGCTGTCTCTAATAAAAGAGAATAAAATCATTATTTACATGGATGACATATTGATTCCAACTATCATGATAGATTTGCCGTCCCGGATTCAATGGTATATTCTGTAATTAAACGTCATCACGATGACATGGCTCATTACAGATTAGAGAAAAATTTTGAAGGGATATTTTCTTCTATATTGGTTTCCTCCTATGCGGAAAAAGATTCGCGATTATATTGACAATTGCGTCACTTCCTTAGTAACTTTTTTTTTGTTTTCCTTGTCACGCAGGGGAAATCCTCATGGATACCTCCCATGGGGACAGCGGGGGTTATGTCGGACTTCTACCGACTAAAACTCCTGCGGGGTGCCTACCGTTCAGACCGTGGTGGGGAAAGTCAGGGGAACTACGCCTGCATCCCCTCCCCGACACCCCGGCCCCAGGGCTGTCATGGAGCCCGACGCCTAAGTACCGCGCCCTTCCCAGATTGGGAGTCAAGGACGCGGTGCCCTGCCCGGTTGTCCGGCCGGGTTGGCCTCCCGGTGTTAATTAGGAGAGAGAGGACACGTGCCCTCTCTCCTCGTCCCCGCTTTCCCCCTTGCCAACTGGGTGGGTAGAGAGGCAGGGGAGCGAGGCCTGGCCCCAACCGGTCCTCGCTCCCCTTCTCCCTGCCATCACCGACGCCCGGAGTGGGCGAGAGGGATTACCTCCTCTCCCACCCACCCCCGTCGGTACATTGAAGGCGGGCCCGAGGCGGCCGAAGAAGCGGCATCCGACTAGCCGGTGGCCTCTCTTCCTCGGCCGGCGCCACCTCGGGCCCGCTTCCCCCTGGGGAGCGCCACCCCCTCCGTCGCTCCCTGCGACGGACTCCTGGGCGGCGCTCCCGCTCGGCGACCTTGCGGGACATGACGTCCCGGCAAAAAGAGGCCGCTGCTCCCCAAACATCCTCGCTCCCGCACATTGTTTTGAGCAAGTGCGAGAGCGAGGGGGCCCCCTCTTGGCACCCCACTGCCCGAGCGAGGACACTGCGTTGCGGAGCCCAAGCCTGGCACACGGCCAGAGTGTGCTCCGCCATGTCCTGCGGCTCCGGGCAATGGTGACAGCCCGTGGTGGGCATCATTCCCTTCCAATCCGGTGCAGGTACCGACCGAAGCACCCGTGTCCGGACAGTACACACCATATGGAAGCTGAGCCCGCGTCCCCACCTGTCTGCCATTTTTGGTAGACAGAGGCGGACGGCCTCGGCCGTTCGGATCCCGAATTCTTTGTAGTCAGCCAATATGGCTGACCACCGTTCCAGGACTCGGGATCTGGCCTAGGATTCCAAGGCCCTCAGGTCCCTGGCCGATGGACCTTCCCCTTTCTCGCGGAGCTTCTTCACCCTCCAATAGAGGGTGTGCCTTGATTCGACAAGAAGCTCCACGGGGGGGGAGACAGCCACGGCCGTCGCCGCCCTATACGAAATGGTGCGGTACCCACGAATCGCCCTCACGACCACTGACCGCATCGCCTGTTGCAGGCAACTCTTGTTGCGGCCGGTGTCTATAAGTCGGGGCGCCCATATGGGCGCACCGTAGAGGGTGATCGAAAGCACCACACCGATATACAGGCGGCGAGCGTGCCATCCAGGGCCCCCCTGGGTCCTCATCAGGCTGGCCAATGCCAGGCCTGCTTTACAGACGCGGGGGACCAGGCTCCTGAAATGGGCCTCGAAATTCCAGCGGCCGTCCAACGTCAGGCCCAGACACTTGATCGTAGGCCCGACGCGGACGCGGACTCCATCCACCAGGACCCGGGACTCCAGTGGCGCCCCTCGACGGGAACCATGAAAATACATGGTCTCCGTCTTCTGAGGCTCCACAGTCCCAGGCCCTTGATGATGCCCACCACGGACTCCAGCACCGCTTCCACTCGGAGGCAAGTTTCCCTCCAACCTTTCCCCCGGCTACCACTAACGTGTCATCTGCATAGCAGATAACCTGGCAGCCAGGGGGGAGAGGAGAGCGAAGCACCCGGTCGAACCTGATATTCTACAGCATGGGGCCGAGAACCGACCCCTGCGGGACACCACGCTTCATGGCGCGCTGACCTTGGACCTCGCCTCTGTACGAGTAGGCGAGGTCCCTGCCCCCGAAGTAGGCCGATAGGATGCGCCGGAGATAGACGGACACCTATGATACTCGAGCGCCCGTCCAATCTCCGGCCAGGGCAGGGTGTTGAATGCGTTGATGATGTCCAACGACACCGCTATCAACAACCCGCCCTCCTTCTTCACGCCCCTACGGGTCAGGACCCGGACGTGCTGGATGGCATCCAGCGTGAATCCTCTAGACCTAAACCCGTATTGATTGTCGTAGAGTTTCGGCCCCTCCGAGGACAGATGCTGGATGATGCGGTCGGCAATGATACGCTCGAGCATCTTGCCCGCCTCATCCAGCAGGCATGTCGGTCTAAAGGTCGGCGCGCCGCCGGGCGCTTTGCTCTCCTTCGGGAGGAGGACCAACCTGACCCTCCTCCACTCTGGGGGAATGCCCCCTCCCTGAGGCACCTGCTCATGAGAGCCCGCATGGCCTCGGACAGGCTTCTCTCGCCTAGGGCGAGAGTCTAGGCGCGGCTAGGAATGCCATCGGGGCCAGGGGCTTTCCCCTTGGCCCCGAGTCTTTTTCTGACCCTGGCGAGCTCTTCTGGATCGACTTCCGGGCTCTCGTCCCAGTTCCCGTCCCGTAACTCGGGAAGGGGATCTGAGGCGCGCCCTTCCACTCTCGGAAAAAGGGTGTACAGGAGCCCCACGAGAGCCTGGTGGTCTAGAGTTTCCGTAGGCGAGCGCGCCCGCGGACGGAGTTTACCCACCGTCCGTTTGTAGGGGCTCCCCCACGGATCCTCATCCAGGGAGCACACCAGTTGCTCCCAGGCTCTTCGCTTTGCCTCAGCGATGGCGGCTTTGAGGGCTTTCGTCGCGACGAGGTATGCCTCCCACGCCCTCGCGGCATCCCCGCCTCGTCGCCGAGCCCGGGCATACACCCTTCTGGCTTGGACGGAGGCCTCGCGAAGATCCGCCAGTAAGCGGCCCAGCGCCGGCGGGGGTGGGACTGAGGCATTGCGACGTCACACGCCGACGCCACGATGTCTACTAATTCCCTAGCCACCTCCTGGGGACTAGGGTCCCATTCACTTGGCCCTTCATCCAGGTTCCAGGTGGCCACGAGGACGGCCGCCCGATGTCTGCGTCTAGTCGATCAAGAGTCCATCTCTTGGGGAGAGGGAAATCCCTCTCCCCTGGGCGGCGGTCCAGCACGCGCGTGGGGGTGGAGAGACGGAAGGCCCACACTATATGTCGGTGATCCGACACTGTTTCGCCCTTCGCCTCCACCGCCCACTCCTGGAACATTCGGGCGGCCGAGAGGGAAGCCCAGGTCAAATATATGACCGACTCCCCCTCGGCCGCATGCAGGTGCTAGTTGACCCCCTGTTCATTAACAGGAGGTCTAACCCCGCCGCCCAGTCGACCATGGCCCTGCCCCTTCGGGGATCCTCCTGCCGGAGACCGCAACCCTACTCCTCAGAGTGGGCGTTGAAGTCTCCGTTAATTATTACAGGTCGGGGGTGGCACTGCCCCCGACTTCGTCGAAGATCCCCGTTATGCGGGCAAAGTCACCGAGGCCGATTCTATTTTTGCGGTGAGGGAGATACACCCCCACCACTGTAGGTCCTCAGTCAACTGCCACGTACGAGCTCCCCTTCCTCCTGAGTGTGCAGGGAGACCCCGTTGCGGGTTCTGCCACCGTGGCCACCGAGCTATCCGGGCTGCCGCACCAGCATGGATTGCTGGGCGGCACCCAATGCGGCTCACTGGCCACCCCCAGCCCGGCACCCAGTTCCTTGATCCTTTGTATCCAGAAGTTTTGGGCCTGGGTACCGCGGTCGAGGTTAGCCTGTAGCGCCCGAAGTAGCGTGAAGGCTAGGCCTTTGCGCCTCTTCCAGGCGTTCTACTTCTTCCTCCTCGGAGTTGGACGTTGGAGTGAACTCCTCAATCTCAGACTGATCCCCCCCCGTCAAGGGGTCAGGGTCTGCCCGAGTGAGTCGCTCAACATCAACCGTCTCCTCCCCCGAGGAGATTTCGGTTGTGGTGGCCTCATTCCTAGGTGCCTCCGCGGAGCTACAGGGGGTCCCTACCTCAACGGCTTCCACCTCTCGTGAGTACGATGGGGTGTCGCCCATTGGGGGAGTTGGGGGTGGCACGCCCACCGGCTCCCCTTCAGCTGCGGCAGTTGGGGGTGCGTCCTCGGACTCCACCCTCCTTACACTCTTGTCCGGCCTGGCTTCACGGAGGTCCTCTCCATTGTCCCTCGTTGTCTCCTTCGCCTCTCCCTTCCTCTTCCTCTGGGGTAGAGGCGTCCGCTCAGTCTCCATTACCTCCGTTGAAGAGGGGCTGGCCCGGCCCCCCCTGCGCCTTACCCTTCCTCTTCCCCCTTTTTGGGCTCTTCTTTGAGGAGAGTTTGCAGGCAGCCCCGCCGATCTTATGACCGGTGGACCTGCCCGCCTCGGCGCACACGGCGGAATGCACCGCGACCGCCTTACAATCTTTGGCGCCGTAGCCGGGGTTACCGCAGCGGTAACATAAATCGTTGCGTTCGACGGCGCTCGTACACCGCTCGCGCACATGGCCTCGCTCCAGGCACCTGAAGTAAAGCGATGCGCGAGCGGGCAGCGCCGTCACCCTGGCGCGGGTCCAGCCCACCTGAACCCGCTCCGCGGCGGCTACCTTCGCGGCTGCCGCCAGCGGACACCACACCACTACCGCGGCTGTCCCTCGCTGGGATAGGCTAAGCTCGCCCATGGAAACTTCCGCGGGCGAGCAGCTCTCAGCGAGGGATACCGCGGCCGCTACCTCGTCGGTCCTGGTTGTCAGATTCAGGCCGGCCATTCGCATCGATGCAATTTTGACCGGTCTCTGAATCCTGAAACCGTGGCCCTTCTCCGCCGTCAGCTTGCGGAGCTCTTCCGCAAGCCGGTCGGCGAATGCCCCCGAATTGAGGCCAAGCACCTCCACCAGCAGAGCTTTATTCAGGGACTGGCGAATCCGGAGGGAGTCGTCAATTTCTAGGTTCGCTGGCTTAATGCGGCGCCTGGCCTCCACCATAAATTCTTGGTATCTATCCGGGGGACATAGTACGGTGACGGCCGCGGATTTTGGCGGCCTCGGCTTCCACGCTCGTGTCGCCATATCCCCCTTCTTCTTGTTCCTCATACCTTTTGGAGGGGGAAGGGAAGGTGTTCCCTTCTCCTTCTTCTCCTCATCCTTCACCTTCCTCCTCCCTTTCCTCCCCAGTACTTCCGACCATTTCTCCTGGGGCTGAGGTGCTGCTGCTGATGGCTGCTGCTGACTACCCTTTAGGGCACCCAGCAAGGCCTTCTGCCAGAGAGAAGAATGAAAGCGGCCACCGGCCGTATTTCGGGGGATACGGCTAGGCGCATTTCAGATACGCCATCTGACCAAAATGCGCCTAGGTTCGTGTCCGTACTACTTCCATGCAATGGATAGTAGATTAGAAAAAGACAGACGACAGACAATCGTTCCGTCTTTGTCTCACTACTGAGCGGCGCGCGGCAGTAAACACGAGGCGAGGTAGCGGCGATCTTATCGCTAAGCGAACATCTCTCCGCTTTTCTTTCATCTTTCACGCTCCAGAGACATCAAAAGACGCGGTAGCGTCTCGTGTCAAGGGAACGTGCGAAGCGAGGAATTATTTTTCACGCACGCGAGGTAGCACATGGGAGACTAGACGATCGTCGACATATTATCTGTTTCCTTCCCGCTCGTCTAGCTTATTGACTGCGTGAGCCACGAGATTTTTCTCGCTACTCCTATACCTCGCTCTTTCTCTCTCTCGCTCGTTCTTTCTCTCTCTCGCGCACTTGCTCGCTCTTCCTCTCTTCTCATGTTCTTACGGCTTGATTAAATATATTAATTACATGACAATATATATATAAATGAATGACAAATATATAGTGTATATGTATATAAAGAATATTTAGTATTAATGCACAAATAAAGAAGAGAGAATTATAATGAGAGACGAAAAGTTAATAGAAATCCACTCTTAGCCAATATATACATCTTTTAAAAATGATTTGTTATTAAAGTATATGACAGAATAATTTATTTATGCTAATAAATTTAAATTAAAAATTAAATGAAATGTTATTTGTTTTGTAAAAGATATTCCATTGTTACATTTTTCTTTTCGTAGCAAAAATAAATTTAGTCTAGTAAAAAAAGAAATTAGTTTTATTATCATATTTCAGTTACGACTTTATTATTTAATTTTACGAATAGATAACGTGCATATTGTTGCTCAACGGAAACCGCGAGAAAATGGTGATCTCCGTCAAAAAATAAATGCAAACTTTTTAATAATATAAATTTTTTTTACGTAAATGTTTGTTTTTATAGTATAACCTGTTGAATTTTATTAATTATTAATTCAGCATGTTATAGTATAAAAAATATATTTTAATATAAAAATTTATGTAATATTAATTGTTTGCATTTGCAAGAAATATGGATAGAACAGGATAGGTTGCAATGATACATAGGAAGAAAAAAGATAGATGGATAAATAGATAGATAGATAGATAGATATAGAGATAGATATAGATGGATAAATAGATAGACAGATAGATAGATAGACATATAAATAGGTAGATGGATAGATAGGTATAGAGAAATAGATAGATAGATAGTTAGATAGTATAGAAAAAAAGATAAATAGAAATATATTTATCATTATTATTATTATTAACGTTTTCAGTTTCAAGAGAACATTCGCTTAAACG